GGACGGCTTGGGTCAAAGTTGCTGAGATTGTAGATTTGGCCTTTGTGGGATGCGGCCTTTCTCCCAACTTTTTATCAATTCCTACTTGTCCATCTAGTTTCAGGTTTCCAGTGCTTCCAGACCGTTTGGTCTCTTCCCTGAACCTACGCAGAGGACAGAGAATGTGTACCTCAATAAATAGTTAATGTTCAGAAGTTGATGTGGGGGTAAGGTGGGAGTTAACTGACAATATACAGTATGCAAATGGGGGGAGCTGACATTGCAGGTAATGTGGAGGACCGCTAGGGGACCAAAAACTTACATAAAGTTAGGTGCTGGCAGAATTTGGAAAAAATCCTACATTAATGAGGATTTCCAGGGCATACCCTCCTAAGAAGTTCCTCATGAAGGAGGGTTGCTGTTCCAACTCTTAGTGACCCTGTACAGGGTTTCTGAGGCTGTGAGTCCTGGTGTGGCATTGTTGGATCAGCACTGGGCTGTTATTCTCAAGGTCTGCAGTTCAAACCCACCAGCTACTCCTCAGAAACCCTATACAGGGTTGCTATGAGTTGGAGTCGACTCATTGGTACTTAAAAACAACAACAAAAAGTCTTTGTGGAAGCAGAAAGCATCATCTTTCCCCCATGGTCTGGCTGGTAGGCTTGAACCTCTGACACTGTGGTTCCCAGTACAGAAATGCAATTTTAGACTTCTAAAGCCTAGTTTTATACAGAAAGATCATCTTATACCATGTTATGCACATTAAAACTTTCATTGTATGCCAAGTGGCTAGTAAACATAGATAGGTTACTTATACAAACTTAGGGGTTTCAAAAGGTTTGTGGTAAAATAACATTATCATTGAATTCTATTTTTTTCAACAAGCTCTTTAAACATCCCTTGTATTATTCTTTGACATCACAGCCTACAGTCCTGATATATAAGAATTCATGGCAATGACTTTATGAGACTTCGCGGCATTTTGCTTCCTGGCTGTTGAAGGTTTTAGTGTGGTCAGACAATCTTGGAGACAGCAACACAAGTCCTTTACAAGTCTCCCCATCATTTTTCTGCCCTCCCAGGCAGAGTGTGCTTCTCAGTTAACAAAGGTCTAGCTAGCCATTGGATTAACCAGAAAACCAAGGAACCAAAACAAAGCCCCTTCCTCAAACCAGGCTTGACCCCGTCTGTCTCTCCAGCATGGCAGCTGCCGGGGCCGTCTGCTGTACCGAGAACCTGTGTGGGACCTGAGCAGGACCTACACTCAGATTTAGATCAGAAGCCTGAGAGGTGGTTGCAGAGATGGCAGTCTGGACACTTTCAGAAGAGCTATTTAACACTCTGCAATGGCCACTGGGAGCAGTGATTTTTAACTCTGTTATTCTGATAAAATATTACTTAGAGTTAGTTTCTACATACATGGTAGGAGTCCTGATGTGGCTCTGTGCGTTAATGCACCAGACTGCAAAGTCATCTGAACTGCAAGGTTGGCGGTTCAAGCTCACCAGCTGCTCCTCGGAAACTCTATACAGGGTCACTATGGGTCAGAACCAACTCGAAGGCACTTAGCAACAACAACATACATGGTTGTTGTTGTGAAGTGTGGTCGAGTCAATTTGGACCACATGGTAAGCCACATTATTTCTAGGTACAACGAGGTCACCTTTATAGGTTAGAAATTTCTGGAAGCTACCATGTCTCCTTGAAAATAGGTTTTAATTTCCATTTCAGATGTGGGTTCTTTTATGTGCTTATTGGGGAAGAGATCATCTGGCACACATTTTATGTGAGGGCCTCAAAACTCAAATTCTACAAATCCTTTCTTTGATCTTGCAATTTCCCTTTATTGTTGAATGGGTATTCTTTTCCAATTCTGTGAAACTCCAATAGGGTTGCCAATTGCAGCATCTGGTCCCCTATGATAGATATGGACCTGTTATGGATTGAATTGTGTCCTCCAAAAATGTGTTGTAAAATCCTAACCTCTGGTAGCATAGTGGTTACAAGTCGGACTGATAACCTCAAGGTCAGCGGTTCGAAACTACCAGCTGTTCTGTGGAGGAAAGAGGAAGCTTTCTGCTCCCGTCAAGATTTATAGCCTTAAAGATTTGCAGGTTTCTATGAGTCAGATTCGACTCCACACAGCATATACTACCACACCACATACCTCTGTATGGAGTCCTGGTGTGACGCTGTGGGTTAATTTTCTGGACTACAAAGTCGGTTTGAACTGCAAAGTGAGCAGTTCAATCTCACTCACTAGTTGCTCCTCAGAAACCCTATACCAGGTCAGTAAGGGTCGGAACTGACTTGACGGCACTTAACAAAAACATACCCCTATATGGAGTCCTGCTGTGGTGCTGTAGGGTAAGTGCTCGACCACAACATTGGTTTGAAACACAAGGTCGGCAGTTCAAACTCACCAGTTGCTCCTTGGAAACCGTATACAGGGTCACTATGGGTCAGAACTGACTCGACAGCACTTAACAACAGTAACATGCCCCTATATGGAGTCCTGGTCTGGTGCTGTGGATTAATGTGCTTGGACTGTGAAATTGATTTTATCCTCAAGGTTGCCAGTTCAAGCTTACCAGCCGCACTTTGGAAACCCTACACAGGGTTGCTATGAGTCAGAACCAACTCAATGCTGTTTAATAACAACAACGTACAGTGTACTGGTGTGGTGCTGTGGTATAAAGCACTAGACCACAAGGTTGATTTGACCCACATGGTTGGAGTTCAAACTTACCAGCTGCTCCTTGGAAACCCTATACAGGGTGTCTATGAGCTGGAACTTAACGGCACTTAACAATATACCTCTATACGCAATGGACTGCTAACCGCAAGGTTGGGGTTCACACCCACCTACAGTTTCTGGGAAACCCTATGGGCTAGAATGGTTTGGATGGCACTTAACACCTGTGAATGTGATCTCATTTGGGAATAGGGTTTTCTTTGTTAAAGAAGTCACAGGAGCGCGTTGCTGTTAAGTGCTATGGAGTCCTTTTGGACTCATAGCGACCCTGTATAGGGTTTCCAAGGTGCGGCTGGAAGGTTTCAAACACCGACCTTACAATCCAGTACTTATCCTACAGTGCCACACCAGGACTCCTGTCAGTGTGTATGGTATGTCTTAAACAAATCATTTTGGGGCTATAAAGAGAATCAGTTAGGCATAGAAGCAAGCTAGCAAGAATGAGGGGAAGACAAATGCCATGTAGAAATGCCAAGAACACTAAATAAGCTGAGTGAACAGAAAGACATCTTCGAGAACTGGTGCCCAGAATTTGGACTTCTAGCTTCCACAACTGTGGGGTGGGGGTGGGTGCTAGTGGTGCTGTAGGATAAGCATTGGACTACTAATAACAAGGTTGGCGGTTCAAACCCACCAGCTGTTGCTCTGCAGGAGAAAGATGAGGCTTTCTACTCCCATACAGATTTATAGCCTCAGGAACCTTATACAGGGTTACTATGAGCTGAAACTGACTCAGTGGCACCTAACAACAACCCAACTACAACTATCCTGTTTGTTAGAGCCATCCACTTGTGGTATTTCTGTCAGTAGCACTAAGATTAACACAAGGCCCACACCCACAGCAGGTTAAGCATGGGCAGGGGACCCAGAGAGGTCCAAGCAGGGTCTTCCTTACAATCTGATGCTGGGACACAGCTGCTTCTTCCTTGGCAATTCTGACCAGCTGCCAAATGTCATGTGGGTGGAGCTCTTGCTAGAGTCAACCCTGAGACTTCTCCGCTACCTTAACTAGTAAATGCCTGTTTGTGAATAAGCTCTTTTGAGTTAAGTTTCTGCCATTTGCCATAAAAGCTCCAAATGACTCGCAGAGAAACAACAAGGTCCACAAAGATAGCTACAAGAGTGATCATTGCATCATTAAAAAAGTTAAACATAAAAAAGCCAAAAACAAAAAAACAAACAAACAAAAAAACCAATTTTTGTTAAGGTACACTTCCAGCTCAGAATTAAGGAAACATAGCCATCACCTACGACATGGGATACTTACTGTTCACTAACTGCCAAGTAAAAAAGGCAATTACAAAATTACAAAAAAAGTAATTGTTTTCTGGGATAATTTGTCAACATTAATACACAAATATTTTGGGGGAAATAGCAGGATACATACCGAAGTATAAAAAGTGATTATCTTTTCGGAATAGGGTTTGTTAGCTCAGGGATCTCTGTGTGGCCGGTGTGTATACATGATATAAGTTTTTGGCACTGAGCATGCATTACAACAAGGGGAAAAAACTCCAATAGATCAAAGTCCATAGGTACCTATTATACTGAACAACTCTGCACGTGTGTTCACTGGAGGTATTGACTCTGGCTGGCCTGGCCTGGGAAGTGGGCAGGTCCGGCCACTATCACCAGGGGCTGGTCAGTGCTTCAGACCACCTGGTGCTTAGCCTAATGATAGTCATAAGGTCTGCACATTCCCAGCCAACACCTCCCTGTAGCTGGGCCAACACCACCAGCAAACACACTTGCGAAGTTGGACACATTTCAATATAATATGTACTCACAGATTTGGACCGAATGAAGTTGTTTATTTCCTCTAGTTGTTATGCATGTTTAGTGCCAAAAACAGATCATGCACACATATTACCCAAACAGAAACCACAAAACTAACACAAAGACTACTGCCAAAAGATAATCACGGTCCAGTCTTGCTAAAATTGCTGAGCTTATTAAAAATCATTAGGAAAACTTTTCATAAAGTAAGTAGGCTCATTTGCAAAACTGATCAAATCTGTCTACCTTGCAAGAATACTCTTATATTTTGGAGAATAACATTCCAATGCTAAACAAACTGCCCAAAAACCTCACACAAAATACGAGGGGGCTTGACAAAAAACAGTGAAAAAATGGAATGAAAACATTGCGGAATTTTCCCATAATTATTTGAATGCCATCCTCCTTGGGCTCATAGCAAAAAAGCATACATGTCGAGCCCTTCTTGGCTAGCTGCTTTAGAAGGTTCAGCCCATCCTCCGGACCTCACCTGGTGTAGACACTTTCTGGCTTTGTCATATTCGCTTCGCAGGCAGTAGGCACTACCCAGGTTGAACAGCATCACTGTCCTGGCGGAGTTGACGGAACTCGGGTAGCACTGAGGGGCCCGTTTCCCAGCTGGGGAAAAGGAGCACAGACACTGTGGAAGAGGCAGGGCCATGGGCACAGGTGTAACCCAATCCACCGCCCCCCCAGGAGCCACTCAGAACAAAAGGACAGCTCTGCTCCTCACACTGACAAATGAAGAACACAGAAAGCTCAACTCTCAATCTTTGGGAGGCCAGCCAGGCTGCTTAAATATTTACTCTGAATTGATAAACTTCTTACTTACAGGATTCCATTGCTTCATTTTCACCTTTGTCTGATCCTACAAAGACATGAAAAATAGATCTGAGGGGGCAGGGAAACAACCTATTTTCTAAAAACCCAGTTTTCTTCATGAAGTGGAAATCTATTATCAAAGTAATTTGTTGCATTTAATGTTCATGTAGTGTGTGTGTGTGAGTGTGTGTGGTTCTATTAAAAGGTACCCAAAAATGCTACCACCCACCATTGCCCTAAGCCTGGGAAATAACCTGTAATAAAGTGAAAGGCACCCAGTCTCAGTCTCTGAAGAAACTTAGGTTATGATTTAAAACTGATTTTTGAATACAATTAACTTTACTTCCCCTGGAGTGTGAAATCAGTCCAAAAAGAAAAACAGCATCAAGAAACCAAACAAATGATCTGAACGCTAAAACGTTTCCAAAGTTAAAAATGTCGACCATGTGAAAATCAACTCCCAGATTTACTTAGCAATTACTACAAATTCAGTTCAGTCCCAAAATGGATAATAGGCCTTTACAACCCTGCCCTTCAATTTCCACACATCCTGAATTATGGTAGGAAGGCAGTGGAAATGGTGACCAGTTCTGCTCAAACGTGTCCTCATTAACCTTGGTCCTGCTCATTTGAGGAGATCCCTAAGGAGACATCAGTGACATTCTCCGGGTTCAAGTGAGTAATGGCATCAGATATTCTGTCCAGAGAGATGAGGGCTTCTGCAGCATACAAATGGCCCAAAAACCTAAAATGAAAAGACAGATTACAAATGGAAAACTAAGCCACCACAGAAATACCCAATGAATAATGACATACTTTATACATACAATCCAAATGTATGCTCATTTCTTTAATGCAAAGAATAATTTTAACATAATAAAAACAGTAGATTCTTAAGAGAGAGGCAGATCCAAGGAGGGATACCCATTGTGTGGGACATCAGAATCGAATTCCTCCAGTCTCTGTCCCAGTAAGAGTCTGAAGGCACCAGAGTGAGACCTGTTTTATATAGGATCAATCTTTATTCTATTCCAAAGGTTTTCTGGTTTTCACACTATCTATTTTATGTCCACTGACCCTAAGCCAGAGCCACATTTCCCATACGATCATCTACTTCTTCAAAATTAGTCTTAAACATACTACTCCACTGTCAAAAACCTTAAGCACCTTTTCTGCATAAGGACAAATTAAAAACCCTGCACTTAAGTCTTCACACTCTCCACAATTTGGCCTTACTTTCCTATATCCATAAGAGCCCTGGTGGTAAAATAGATTAAGCAACTGATAATCACAAGGTCTGCAGTTCAAACCCACCAGATGCTCCTCAGGAGAAGAGGAGTTGTCTGCTCCCTTAAAGATTTAGTTTCAGGAACCCTCTGAAGCAGTACTACTCTGTCCTACAGGGTCATTATGAGTTGGAATCAGCTTGATGGCAGTGTGTCTCCCCCTCTAGCCAACCAATCTCCCAGCAGGGCAGCCAGCAATCAGCCCATGGGCCTTACCTCCTTGGGCTCACAGCCCTGCCTCACCTACACAGTCAATGCCCCAGCCTTCGTTTTTTTGTTTTTTAAGTTTGTATTATGAATTGAGTGATAGTTTACATGGGACATTAGTTTTATCCTCATTTCATGGCAATGATTAGAATTTCCTTTGTGCATTATCACTGAACAGTATTTTTGCTTCTATTCCATCTGCTTTTTTTTTTGTTGTTGGGGGTGGGTACACAAAACACTCAGGAAAAACATAATCATTTAAACAACCAAAGGACACATTCTGCAAGCCTGACTCCTGGCGTCAGCACACAGCCTTTCTCTTTCCATGAGTCTGGAGTCTTTAGCTGTTCTCTGTCTCCATGTCCTCAACTCTGCCTTCTTCTCTGGTGTCAGTGCTTCTTTGGATAGGGATCCACAGTCTACTCCTGCTCTTCTCCCTTGATGGTCCTAGGGCCTTCTGTTCCTGGACTGTAAGATTAACTACTCCCTCTTTTTTTGTTACAAAACTTCTACCTTTATAGTTGTTCCAGTCGCAGTAAGCCATGATAACAATTATTCACTTGTTATCATGTTATCACTAAGAGTCATAATCTTATCCCCATCTCTTTTCATCAGACCCGTTTAGACAAGATGAAAACTATTCAGTGTAGACTCTGCCTTCCCCCACACACTCTGAAACTAAACTCCTCTTGAAAACTTGTAATCAGTCACTTTGTGCCTTTATATCCTCCCCCACTTTAGGTAGCCAATGTCTAAGCTGCCCATCCTTATCAACTCTGTATACAGAAGGGATAGGATTGATACTTGATGTGAAGACTCTTTCCCTCTCAGTTTGTATTTTGAGCTACTACATCCATAAGTATAGATCAAGTTCATCAAATTGTAGTAATTTACACTTGTTTCCTTTATAAAAAAAAATTTTTTTTTCTCTTCCTCTAGTAGACTTCTGATCATCAAACCATTGAAGCTAGGTTGAATGGATATTATCTACAAGTTCTTGTGCATCTCCCCTCACTTCCTATCAGCTGGGTGCTTCATGCTCAGCTCTAGCTCTCTGATGTCCTTGTCCATGGACTTAGGGAGTCCCAAGGTTTTACCACACTTCGGACAAACCAGGCCTTCTTCTTCTTTCTCTCATCTCTAGGTCAATGGGAATCTATGGAACGTGATTGAACTCAACCTGTATCTTCACTACTGCCTTTCCCCCTCTTCCACTCACGTGCAGACCAACATGGTCACCAGCAAGCTTACATGAGTTTCAGTCTTGGAGGTGGGTTTGTCCTGAAGGAACTTGACTGCTTGCCTTGATGTCCAGCCTTCGTTTTAAAGGGTCAGTTCTGAGCTCACCTCCTCTGGTTTACCCTACCCCAGCTCAGTATATCCCTGTGAATCCTGGACCATCAAATCTTAAACTTTTTACAGTTTTCACCACATTTTAGAATTTTTATGCACAAGAATCACTTGCGATAATCAAGCAATTTCTTCGAACTAGCAGAGGCTGCAATGACCTTTTATTCTGTCTTCCTACCAAATGCCCTGATAGGGATGACAATTAAAAAAAAAAAAATCAATAACTTCAAGAAAATTTTGAAATATTTGAGAAATTTCACAAAAGCAGCGTCCACATGCCAAAAGTCATTACAAAAAACCAACACAGATTCAAAGAGCTTCTTCAAAAAATTTGTTTTTAATTTCCTCAAAAAACATGTTTTTTGTAGCCCAAATGAAATGTCTTCATGATACACAAAGCAGAAATCCTTAGAAAGATGTATGGAAAGCTGCAGGCAGCAGGGCAAACAGGACTGCTGTATTTAAGGGCAGCCAATCCTGGTGTGGCTCTGTGGGTTAACATGCTGGAATGCAGCAGAGTAGGTTTGAACCACAAGGTTGGCAGTCCAAGCTCATCAGCTACTCCCTGGAAACCCTATACAGGGTTGCTATGAATTGGAACTGACTCCACGGCACTAAAAAACAAGTGTAGAAAGACCTCCTCACCCTCACCTGGAAGACAGATCAATGACCTTGTTATTAATAAAAGGAACCAATGCTTAGGAAAGAATGATTATGAGAATTGAAAAGGGGGAAAAAAATCCTGACGTGACTTGGAAATCCCTCAAAAGTTAGCTAAAAATCACATATCCTAGGAATTTTATTTATTTTCAGAGAACAAGTTAAAAAATAAGGTTAAAAACCTTACAACAAATGTCAAAACAAGGATTTATGTGGTACTAATTGAGAATGGTAATCACAATGTTAAAAAAAAAAAAAAAAAGTTAAAAAAGCAGCTAGGACCTGTTTTATTTTTTGTTTACAACAAAAAATAAGCAACCCCTCAAAAAAATCTAACTGGAAAACCAAACAAAACCCACTAGGCCAATAATGCCACTGGACACCCTAATCTGGCAGCAGCAGTTCCTGATGTTGGTATTTCATGGATGGACTGACCATGGAAAGGCTGAAAGCTACTTTAGAGGCCACAACTGGAACTCACGACTCTTCTCCCAGGCCTGAATATTAGGCAATGTTTTCTTACAGCAAAGCAGGAGTTCCCTTATAATTGACTTGTGACAAAGTCATGTCCCCAGATGCTCTAGAGCCTTTGAAAACAAAACAAAACAAAAAACAAGCACAAAGTATGGTTGCTGAACAAAGGCCTGAAATGGGCTTGTTGTTGTTAAGTGCCGTGGAAACTGTTACAATTCATAGCTACCCTGTATAGGGTTTCCCAGGAATGGCTGGTGAGCTTGTGGTCCAGAGCAATAAGTCTCAGCACCACACCAGGACTCCTCAATCACTGTCAATTTTGGAAGTAATGGACTACTAACAAAAAAGGTTAGTGGTTCAAACCCATCAGCCCCTCTGTTAGGAGAATGATGTGATAGTCTGCTTCCATAAAGATTATAGCCTTGGAAACCCTACTCTGATCTATATGGTCATGATGAGTGGGAATTAACTTCACGGCAGTAGGTTTGGCTTTTTTTTTTTTTGGGGGGGGGCGCGCATAAAATAATCAGTTAAAATAAAAAAAGTGAAGAAATTAAACATTTACACAATTTTTCCTTAAAATATGACCTCACAATTGTAAGTGGGAGGCAAAGTCTTTAAACAAACAAACAACTCAAACTAACTGCCATAGGGCTGAACGAATTCCAACTCATAATGACCCCCTGGGAGACAGAAGAACTGTCCTGAAGCATTCCCAAGGTTGTAAATCTCTAAGGAAGTAGACCACCCTACAGTTGTCCTGCAGAAGAGTCCATGGGTTGAAATCACTAACCTTCTGGTTAGCAGCCCAACGCTTAACCAATGAGCCACCAGGGCACCTTGACAAAGCCTTTGTTGTTGTTGTTTTTAAGTATCACTTAGTTGAATCCGATTCATAACAACCCTGTATAGGGTTTCTGACGATCAACTGGTGGGTTTGAATAGCTGACTTTGTGATTAGCAGTCTAGTGCTTATCCTACAGCGACACACCAGGACTATGAAAAAGCCTTTGGTGGTGGTGGTGGTTGTGTGCCATGGAGTAGGCTTCAACTCATAAGGCCCCTGTATTGGATTTCCGAGGCTATCAATCAGAGTAGAAAGACTCATAATTTTTCCCTAATGAAGCAGTTGGTAGATTCAAACTGCTGACACTGTGGTTTGTAGCAGCCTAACTCGTAACCCACTATGCTAACAGGGCTCCTTGACAAAGCCTTCAATGACTGTTAAAAAGTAAAAGAACACATAGTCATATTTGGAGATTACAAGAATATATACCCAAAGGATATTAAAAAACAAAACAAGAGTCTTGATTAATGCTATGGAGAAGCGCTTGTGACTTTGGAGAAATTTTCCAAGATTATTACCACACATAGATTCAAAGCTGCATCTTACTCAGTTTAGATAAAAGAAAAGATGAAGTGCTTTGGAATATTTCAGAATGACAAAGCCATTAACTGAATAACGAATGCTGTCTTAATGAAATGGCACAGTAGTTTGGAAAATTACTTTAAAATTTGTCTATTTTAACTACATCCCTCATAGTAGATTTATCATGCTGACCAAAGTGGAAGGTGTCTGTCTCCTAAGTCTCTAAACAGCGAGTGACATTTCCAGTAGCCCCTGAGGTGTAACAAATGAAAAAAATTTAAGGACCAAGACACAAGTTGAAAAAACTTTCAAAATCAGTTATTTTCCCTTATCTTTAAATTCTATTTTTTCCATAAAATTCTTGAAGCCCTCTCGTATATTCTACTGTAGTTGTTGTTAAGTGCCATTGAGTTGGTTCCAATCCATAGTGACCCTGTGTAGGGTTTCCTAGGAGCAGCTGGTGAGCTTGAACTGCTGACCTTGCAGTTCAAACAGCTTTGCAATCTGGTGCATGTAACTCGCTGTGCCACACCAGGATTCTGTATATTCTACTGTGAGAGTATAAAAGAAGCAACACATACTGCAAGCTCATTGAAAACTTCTGTACAAAACAGTAAATCAGGGAGGGGCAGGGAGGGCGAGCGATACTTACTTAAGAGATCCGGACAGCTTGGGCTGCTGAAGAAGTTTATCTGCGTGATTCAAAGCCATGAGGTTATCACCCAAAGCCAGAGCCACGTAAGCACTGCAGGCAAGTATAGAGCACCTACAACACAAGAAGGAAGGACTGAAAACCTAGGTTACAAAACTGATGTTGTATTTCTTACATAGGGAAAACTCCATAAACAGCGGTGACAATCTGGACACTAGGAAAGAAGAGAGGAAGAAAGCACAATGCCTTCAGTAAGAATTGGAATGAGGTACAAAATTACCATCTGAAGCAATGCCTAGCTATTTACCTAAATCTTCTTTAGCTTCCAACCAATTCACATCCCCTAAACCCAACAAAATCATCTCCTGGAATATATATTTAGCCTATAAAACATAATGTTGTAATTAATGGCCCAGAGAACACTTACTTCCATAGAGAATTTCTTTTTAATATTCCAGAGATAAAGCTCCAGACACAGATATTATTCTTTCTACATATATTTATAGTTTCGTTAAGAAACACAATCTTGTCCATTTTGCTTAGCTGACTATTAAGTGTTCCTCCTCTAAACATAATTAAGAAATCTGTTGTTCTTGCTTCTAAGTAATAGTATAAAGAGTAGCTTAAAATTTTTTTTCAATCACATAGCTACTATTATCTTAAATGAATGAATATTCAAGGGAAAAAAGCAGGTTGAATAAACACATGTGAAGGTAAAATTTCAGTTACATTGATTTTGCTAATTTAAGTTGGGTTAGAAAACTAGGTTTTTGTTTGATTTTCTACTTAAAGGGCAGCACATTTTAATAAGCTCAGCCCAAAGACTTGACACTAATAGATCACTTGAATGTTAAACATCGGCTCTACAAAGCAATCTTAACATAAACCCCTGTCAGATAGAAATGAAGTTTGAATGGCTGACCACATATGACCAACTCGGACACAGGGTTCTGAGTTATGTTTACATACTGCAATTCGTATATATATCACTAAGTGCATCCAGGCTATAATTTTGGTCTAAGCGTTTTCACCATGCTCTGAAATCCGGACTAGAAATGACTTTTAGTAATGGCACAGCTGGGCAAATTCTAGAGTAGTCTGTCTTGTTTCCTCTTCACTGGCCCACTCCTACCTAGTTGCTAGAATCTGAGAACATTACCCACTGAGGGAAAAGTAGCAACACGGGAAAAGGACAGCGGTCCTGGAGGAGGCACACAGAAACAGGTTTAGGACCCTGGGCTGCCATAATAAGGCTGAAAGGCTGAATATTGCAACTCCTTTGTTTCTCAATACAGAAACTGAGATCCAAAGAGACTGTATACACTCTAATTCAGAGTCTCTGTTTAAAGTCAGAACTAACACTTAAAACTAGACTTTCTATCCACTGCTTTTCCCATTCGATTGCACTGCTTCTGTATCAATTTCACATGACCTTCCTAAAAATAAAGAATACAAAAAAGGTTACATTAAGATTTTTCTAAGTTTTTGCATACGAGGAGTCCTGGTGTGGCTCTGTAGGATAAGCACTGGCCTTCTAATCACAAGGCTATTGGTTCAAACCCAGCAGCCACACCATGGAAACACTATACAGCACTGCAAAAATCAGAACTGACTTTAAAGCACTTAAAAACAACAAGCACTTTAACTTAACTTTCGAAAAAGAAAAAAAAAATTAATGCAAATAATACAAACTGAAATTTTGTTAGGTTATATTATTTTAAATCTGATCCAAGCTCAGAGAAGAGAGTAACTTGAGAGCAGACAAGTAGTGCCACTTCCAAAGGGATTTTCCTGACATGGTAACTGTCACTATTCCTCTTTCCAGGAAGTGGCTTCATAAGCAAGGTGACTCTGTGGTCACAGCTCTTGGGGGGAGTACTCTCTTGCTCCAGTTTTCAGAGACCCATCAGCAGTAAACTCTGTGTGGTGAGATTAGCATGACTTGGTTTCTCCTCTTGGCTTACTTATAGTTAAGAGGATAAACACCTAAGGAAGCAGCAATCAAGAAATCAAAAGGACACATTGCACCGGGCAAATCTGCTGCAAAAGATCTCTTTAAAAAGTGTTAAAAAGCAAAGATGTCACTTTGAGGAAGAAGGTACAACAGACCCAAACCATGGTATTTTCAATTGCCTCATATACAAGTGAAAGAAGAATGGAGAAGAACTGATGTATCTGAATTCTGGTGTTGGGGAAGGAATAATACTGAATATACCTAAGGGGTTGTATGATAAGCACTAGACTGCTAACCAAAGGTCAACGGTTCAAACTCACCAGCTCTTTTTTTGGAAGCCCTATACAAGGTTGCTATGAGTCAGAACTGACTTGATGGCACTTAGCAACAACAACAACGATGAGGAGAATTAACAAATCTATCTTGGAAGATGTACAGTTCCTGAAGAAGGACATCATGCCTGATACAGTAGGGGAAGAAGACCTTCAATGAGATGGACTGACAGAGTGGCCACAAAAATAAGCTTGAACAGGAGAGACTGTGAGGATGGCACAGGGCAGGCTAATGTTTCATTTTGTTTTACTTATGGCTGCTATGAGTCAGACCCAACTGGACAGCACCTAATCACAACAATATCCTTAATAACAGCAATCCATATTCATTCATTCAAAAAGTATACTGAGTGCCTACCATGTATGCACGAGGCATGTATTGGTTATGAAATAAAAATAAGACCTCTAAAGGCCTGGGCTTTCAGAGAGCATCAGTCCAGAGTAGGCATAGATGGCAGTCACAAACTTTTAATCTATTTTTATCTGTGACCTTTCTAAAGAGAAAAACAGAAGCCCATTAAAAGCTGGAGCCTACATTTTGTTTCTTACACAAAGACTAGAACAATTTCTCAACATGTGCAAACTCAAAAAACAAATCCATTGCTGCAGGGTCAATTTCCACTTAGAGAGAGCCTATAAAACAAAGTAGAACAGCCCCAGAGCATTTCTAAGGCTGCAATCTTTATGGCAGATTGCCACATCTTTCTCCTGTGGAGTAGCTGGTGGGTTTGAATCACTGACCTTTCAGTTAGTAGCTGAGTGCTTACCCATTTCATTACCAGGACTCTTTTTACCGTGTGCAGCAGGTGCTTAAAAGATACTTGCTAAAGACCACAGCTTTCAACATTTTCAATTTACTTTTCCAGGCACCAAGAACCCCCAATTTGCCTGCTAGAAGGTTACTTTGGTGACAAAGCAGCTTCTTTCTGGACTCCCACAAATCAGGCCACCCTTCTGCATGTGTTGGGGCCTAGAGTCTAGGACAGGTCCACCTTAGGCAGGCTTGTTGGGAAAAGGCAGTCCTGGCCTCTCCTGACAGTAGCAGGGCTGTTACTGCTCCAGTCCACTGTCAAACCTATTTTGGGTCCACAAATCAGTCAGATGATTTGTAGCAGGATTCTGGTTGCCAAGAAGCCTAAATTATAATTAGGTATGAGAAGGAGAAAAAAAAAAATCTGTTTTCCTCAACTATTGTCTCTTTTACCAGAAGAAACCACATCTAATCACAACAGGATAAAGATTCTAATAAATAAGTTATCTTTCTTTCTATCCAAAAATACTTAAATATGTGAATCCTCACTAATGGCTGGTATTGTCATAGCCACAGGGGTTAATAAGCAAGTCTCACTGCCTGAAATGCAGACCATTGCTTATGCTGTTCCTTCTCTTGGTGGCTTATAATCTACCCAAACTCACTTCTTATTACCCCCTCTCACTAATCCTTTTTCTCTTAGTAAACAACACTCCACTCTGCAGAGTTCCTGCAGGCTGGCAGCAGTAGAAACATATACACAACAGCTGTATCTACTAATGCCCTGAAAAATCACTTTACTTTTGATAGTTGCTGCTTAAAATGTTAGTCCAATCCTCTACCACTACTTCCTCGAGTCACTGTTCAATCTGTTTTATCAACCACTCAGTGGATCTGACAGTTCATCATACTGGAAAAGCTATACCTCAAAGGAAGAGGCTCACTAACTTCCCCTACCCCATGGACAATCTGACAAAACCCCACACTGTCCCTTTCATACAATTGAGGAGCTCCAGGTCCATGGAATGGCTACCATTGGGAAAGAGGTGGTGGGTGGAAGAAAAAAGGAGGGGAGGCAGAAAATGAAAAGAAAATAAGGGGAAAAAAACCCAACTTTCCTTATAGCACATACATAACAATGAACAAGTTACGCAAGACTGAACATTAAAACTTGTCAAACCACATAGCTTCTGAGTTAAATATATCTATGTAAAATATCTGAAATAGTTTAACCTTTATTAAAACAGGCTAAAATGAGGTAAATCAAGTCATCTACCATTTGACAAAGAAAATTAAATTTACAAAACAATCACACAGCACACATTAGTTGAAAAACAAGGTAAACAAATCCAATAATGCAATCTATTTCAATAAAATGAATACTGTATTGCATTTTAAAAGTAAAAAAAACAAACAAACCAAGGTGTTTTCATTTATTTCCTACAAGCTTAGAAATGTTAATTAAACATGTCAGTATTCAACTTTAAAAAAAAATGTTATTCATTTTATTTTGAGTTATGTGATAGTTTACATGGGAGAACATTAGTTTTACATTCATTCTATCCTATATCTTCTCATTGCCATGGTTACAATCCCCTCCATGCACCATCAACCAACCAATACTCTGCAAGCCTTCCCCCCACAAACCCCTGGTCTTCAGCACACAGTCCCTCTCCCTCTCTGGACTAAAGTCCCCAGCTGTTCCCTCGCTCCAAGTCATCATCTCTCTGCCTCCATCTCAGGTATCATTGTTTCTCTGGGTAGGTCCAGCTCTTCTCCGTTGATGGTCCTAGAGACCTCCGCTCCTAGACTGGAAAGTTAATCACTACCCTCCTTGCTATAAAATGTCTACCTTTACATTTCCAACCCTCACAATCAGTCCTGATAACAATTATTCATACTGTATCACAAGAGACCCGTCTGCATTTCATTTCATCAGCCCCGCCTAGACAGATTGGATACTACTCACTGGAGATTCTACCATCATTCACGCATTCTGGATCTAGATTCCCTCTTGAAAGCCCGTAAGTCAGTCACTTCTTGCCTTTGTAGTCGTCCCCCCTCCCCCACATTTTGG